GCGTGATTTGATGTGACGTGAGCTGACTTGACGTGAGGCGAGGCCAGACGGGGCTAGGCTAGGCTAGGCTAGGCTAGGCTAGGCTAAGTTAGGTTAAGTTAGGTTAGGTGAGGTTAGGTTAGTTTAGGTTTTCGCAGTAGTCTTGTGCACGTCAGTCCGCAACTGAGGGGTTCCATTCTCTTCTCTTATGTTTCGTGATGTGACGGGACGTGTGGTGAGGTGAGGTGAAGTGAAGTGAGGTGAGGGGACGTGACGTCACGTGACGTGACTCGACGTGACTAGGCGTGACTTGGCGTGACTTGATGTGACTTGACATAACTGACGTGACTTGACGTAAGTGACGTGACTTGACGTGTCTTGGCGTGACTTGACGTGACTCGACGTGACTCGACGTGACTTGGATTGACTTGGAGTGACTTGGCGTAACTTGATGTGACTTGACGTGACTGACGTGACTTGGCGTGACTTGACGTGACTTGGCGTGACTTGACGTGACTTGACTTGGCATGACTTGGCTTGACTTGACGTGACTTGGCGTGAGTTGACTTCACTTGACGTGACTTAACGTTACTTGTCGTAAATTGACGTGTCTTGGCGTGATTTGATGTGACGTGAGCTGACTTGACGTGAGGCGAGGCCAGACGGGGCTAGGCGAGGCGTGGCTAGGCTAGGCTAGGCTAGGCTAGGCTAGGCTAGGCTAGGCTGGGCTTGGCTAGGCTAGGTTAGGTTAGATTAAGTTAGGTTAGTTTAGGTTAATTTAGGTTAGGTTAGGTTAGGTGAGGTTAGGTTAGGTTAGGTTTTCGCAATAGACTTGTGCGCGTCAATCCGCAACTGAGGGGTACCATTCTCTTCTCTTATGTTTGGTGAGGTGACATGAGGTGTGGTGAGGTTGAGGTGAAGTGAAGTGAAGTGAGGTGAGGGGACGTGACGTGACTCGACGTGATTTGCCGTGACTTCGAGTGACTTGGCGTAACTTGATGTGACCTGACGTAACTGACGTGACTTGGCGTGACTTGACTTCACTTGACGTGACTTAACGTTACTTGTCGTAAATTGACGTGTTTTGGCGTGATTTTATGTGACGTGAGCTGACGACGTGAGGCGAGGCCAGACGGGGCTAGGTGAGGCGAGGCGAGGCTAGGCTAGGGTAGGCTAGGTTAGTTTAGGTTAGGTTAATTTAGGTTAGGTTAAATTAGGTTAAGTTAGGTTAGGTTAGATTAGGTTAGGTTAGGTTAGGTTATATTAGTGTAGGTTAGGTTTGCCCAGTAGAGTTGTGCGCATCAGTCAGTAACTGAGGGGTACAATTCCCTGCTGGTAACCCCTTGAATGTAACTTTAAGCGGAGCCAATTATATCCCTAAGCGTGTGCCGCACATCTGCGTCTTCTCAAACCAATGCTCTAAGCGTGCGTGTACCATATATTGAGTGCAAACTTTTCACTAAGAATTCTTAACGCCTACGCTCTGATGTATGTACTTCCAGTTAAGGTATATATGTGAGCTAATACTGACTTCTTTCATTCCTCAGTGTCTGTTGGTGTGTTGTACTTTTTTACTCGCTTTTCTTGCTACAAGCATCTGGTTTGTGCTGCTTACGAAAGAATTGTTCCCACTCACATTCCGACTTGCTTTGAGAGAGATAATTTGTTAGATGACTTTCATTGAGTGCTTGTTATCTGTGTTTGTGTCTGTATTTTTTTTTACTGGCGACTAAGCAGCTGTGTCTGATTAAAATGTTACTTACCAAGGGGTAGAATTTGCCTGACGCCTGTGTCAACGTTTATGAATTTATTATTTCTTTCCTGCCTTGCGAAACTCTCTTAGCGGAGCCGATAGCTGGTGACGTAACTTGTCTGTCGGGATAGTTTCTTGCCCCTGACCGAAAGAAATTCACGGTTTCAAAAGTGGGATCCCACACCTTCGAATGAAATTAGGGTACTCCTAGGTTTGCTTATTTTGATGGGAATTTAGAAACCAAACCTCAGAATATATTTTAGTAGGAAAGAAGGAAAAATTGTGGTACGAAAAATTATTCAACCACTTAGTATCTGGTGTCTTATTTACGATGTTACGAACCTAGGGTTCGAGGTTGCCTAGCGAGGTTATCAGACGCCTATGTCAGCATTTATTTCTTTTCTGCCTTGGGACCGTCCCTTAGCTGAGCTATTTAGTTCACCATGGCATCTTGCTCTCGTAACTTGTCTGACGAAGAAGTGCTTGATCTTTTGGACGAAAACTGTTCAGTCGATTCGGATACAACCTCTGTGGGTTCATGTGGATATATCCTCGATCCCAGTTCCGAAGAGGAAGGGGAAGAACCTCAAATTTCTCTGAATATTCCAGGTATTTCTTGGGAAGAGGTCGACAGTGCTAATCCTCTTCTACCTTTTGCGTGTGATTTAGTTGGGAAACAAATAGTGCCAGTTCAGTGTGCAGATGATCCTCTCGGATATTTTGAGTTATTTTTTGATGACGATCTGATTACGATGATAGTGAATGAAACAAATCGTTATGCGGAAGACTTTCTTGCTCATCAGAAAGAAAAAATCCTGACCCAAAAGAAATCACGGTTTCAAAAGTGGGTTCCTACAACTTCGAATGATGTTAGGGTATACCTATATTTGCTTATGATGATGGGAATAATTCAGAATCCAAACCTCAGGATGTATTTTAGTAGGAAACATATGTTAGAAACACCATTTTTACCCAATGTAATGAGTGGAGAAAGGTTTTCATTGCTGACCAGGTTTCTCCATTTTGTAGATCACACTAATAAGGAAATTGCAAAAAGAGATCCTAAATTGTACAAAATTCTTCCGGTTAGTGAATATTTGAGAAAGAAGTTCCAGAAAGTGTACATACCGGGCAAAGAAGTAAGTGTCGACGAATCTTTGTTATTGTGGAAAGGTAGACTTTCGTGGAAAAGTATATTCCTATGAAAGCTTCCCGGTTTGGGATTAAAGTCTTTGAACTCTGTGATTCCGCAGGATATTTGTGGAATTTTATAATTTACAGTGGATCATGGACAAAATTAAGCTATGAAGTCACCAGAGACACAGATCTTTTCTCAACAAAAGTTGTTCTAAATTTGTGCGGGAATCTATGAGACTCGGGGCAGATGTGTTTATATGGACAGTTTTTATAGCAGTCCCGATCTTTTCCAGAGATTAGTTCAGAGGACAACAGATGCTTCTGGAACAGTGAAAATCACGCGCAAAGGTATGCCAATAGATCTAAAAAAGAAACTGAAGAAAGGAGAAGTAGTTAGTGCAATGTGTGGGAAATTGGTGGCGTTGAAGTGCAATGATAAGCGCGATGTCTCAGTGCTGACTACTAAACATTCAGACGAAATGCAACCCGTAAGTCGAAAGGGTGGGTTAGAATTTTTAAATAAACCTATGTGTGTAATAGGGTATAATAAATATATGGGAGGTGTAACTTGAAAGATCAGCTACTAGAAACATTCTTGCTAGAAAGGAAAAGGCAAAACGCGTGGTACAAGAAATTATTCAACCGCTTAGTAAATATGGCAGCGTTGAATGCTTACATTCTGTACTGCAAGGCTGGTAACAAGAAAGATCATCTGTTATTCAGAATAAACTTAGTGAATGAGATCATAGCAAAGTCCCATGGACAGAATTTAGAAAAGTGCAAAGGGCGTCCTTCAGATACCGACATGGAATGTACGAGATTGACGGGACAGCATTTCATTCAAGAAAATTCCAAAACCGAAAATTATAAAGTTTTAAGAAGAAGGTGTGTGGTTTGTACAAAAAACAGAAAGCGAAAACAAACCAGATACAGGTGTAAAAACTGCCCAGGGACACCCTCTCTCTGCCTAGATGCCTGTTTTGAGCAATAGCACATCAAGGTCAACTACTAGACACTGGATATGGAGAGCTGGGAAAAAGAAATAGCTTGATAAGATATAAGTACACATTTATAATAATGAACTGTAAACAATTGTAAATATAATATAATTTTTTGGAATTTTTCAAATAGCAATTTCATTATTTGAAAATATTTAGGTAAATGTCTGCACAAAACCTTCAGTTCTTGCGAAAACAAAGCACCTGGAGGGATTTAATTACCCCCGCTTAAATTCACGCTAGATGCATGTAACTGAGCGGATGCATATGGTGTGTCGCACACGCTTGAAGGGTTAAAGCTTCTGTGGGCTATGCTACAAGCCGGATGGTCGCGGATTCAAGTCCCGGCTAGGTCATTGGATTTCTTTTTTCAGTTGACTTAATCCTTCCGACTGCACTATGGCCCTGGGATCGTCTCAGCCTTTAACAGAAATGAGTACCAGGAATTTATTAAACCATTTTCCTGGGGAGTAATTCGCGGCCGGCACGTAAGGCTGTCAACTTTAGCGCCATCTTTGAGCCTATTGTCTAGATAATGTGGGACCCTCAACGTCTGACAACCCTATGGGCCTTCAGGGCCTTTTACAGGGATAGCTTTATTTATTTATTTATTTATTTATTATTTATTTATGTTTTTCTTTATAGTGTTGTCAGGGGTATGAGTGAATCTCGACAGGGTTTTGGATTGCATATTTACTACTTACAGACTGTAAATACAAGAAACTCTAAGAGTCTCACGGAATTATAACTCCAAATATCACTGTAATTACAACATACATAAAGTCTTCTCAGACTTCACTAGCAGTTTTCTGGCAACTGAAAGCAGTCTGCTTGTACGGTTCTCACGGTCTCTTCGCTTGTGGCTTTCTTATTTTTCCTTCTACCCTGAAGATAGGGGCGATACGTTTCTCCGAAACGTCGGTCAACACCACATCTACGCAGTGTCATATCCCAGAAGACTGCTTTCTTCATCGAAATTCTATGTTTGGAAAATAAAATTCAAGTGTGAAGCGTCCTGTGTTTTTTGTTGATTAATAAGTGTGTTGCAGAATTGTAGACGCAGTGCATGCAGGGCGCCGGCGTCGAGCTGCTGACATCGCTGTGGTGGCTGGAAGCGCAGTTGTGCAGTCGTGATGCTGTTCGGGAAGGCGATACAGTCCTCGCACGCCTCATGGACCGATTCGCTTCCCACGTGCTCACCACGTACCCTCTGCTTATCCTGCTCCTCACACTTGGACTCACCGCCACAGACATCACTGGTGAGTGCTGCATATCACATTTAGTGTTTGGTTGAACTAATCTGTTCAATTCTTCGTTTTAGTGAGTGAAGAATTTAGTGATATTTAAGAAAATCGCTGTTTTCTTGGAAGAACTGATTTTACAATCTTTCATAATAAATACAGTACAACGTAACAAAAGATTGATATTGATATTCGTAAGGAAGAGAATCGCAGGCTTTACAAGTAATTATCTTTAAGCCAAAACTTCCTGCCATTTAATGGCAATGTCCGTTAAAACGATTCTGAACTACATGAACATGTTACATAACAAGACTTTAATTAATATTTTGCCTGAAGAATCTAAGTAAACATGTCTCATCTAAATTTAGTAAGTCTAGATTGTAGTAACAACCTTCTCCAAAAGGAATCATGAGATATGTCGGAAAGTTATTTTTAAACAATCATCTACGTGAAAGCCCTCAATTTCAGTCAGAATAACGATCATTGTCAAGCCATTAGGATGTTTGTTTCAAGCAGTCTGTAATATAAATTTTGATCCCATTATTGTACCAGAATTGATTTCCAATTTTGCCTGACGTCTCATCATGATTACAGCTACAGCATTACATCTGACAATTTTGTAAGCCCTTCAAAAATATTTTCAACCGTTGTTTTTATATTTTACTGCGGCAGATTGAAATCTATATTCACATGGGGTATTTAAGGTACCCCTCCGTACAGACTGAACCACGTAATGTTATCACATGAAATATCTTTTTATTTTCCGTTACATCAAGAGCTGCTTCAGATAAAATATTTATGATTTCAAAGAAGACATAAGATATATGAAACAGGTTATATATGGATTTCTTTTTCATGAGATATTAAGGTCAGCTTCGCTTTTTAAAATAGAGCACGATTTTATCACTATACCGCAAGTCAGTACGAATCCAGTGATCACAAATTGGGTACCATACCGACGAATCTTTCGTTCGAAATCGCTACTCAGAACATAGGAGTGAATCTCTCAGTCTACTGCTTTGCTGAATTGAGAAAGCTGAGTCGCTTATCAGAGGTCGTTCTTGTACGTCCAGTCGCAGTATCATACAAATAGTTCGTCGGACTGGAACTCAATTTTTTGTCGAAAAATTTATACTGATCTCTCTACAACTTTTATGGGAGTGAAAAAATAAAGTTGTATTTGAGAAAGTGAAACAGACCTTGATATTTCGTATAAAACGAAAGATACAAATCATCTGTTTCGTGCACCGCGTGTTTCTCTTGAAGCGACATAAATTTTGCCTGAAGATCTTCCTGATGAAATGGGTTATGAATGTGTTATTCGAGGTTATGATCTTAAACGGTTCACTCTGTAGATGTCGGGTGCATTTGTTATGGCATAAAGTAGGAGCACTTTCGTAACTTCTAATCTACAACAATTATGACAATTTCCCATGAAGATTTACATTATAATGTATTTTAATATGAGTTTCTCTGTTATGTATGACATCGGATAATTCTAATGATTGCTCATTTGATTTCAAAGCGTCTGCATGTCATATGACGTCTGAAATTTATACATGTTTCCTGTAGTCGACCAAAGAGATAAGCTTTCTCTGATTCATATACGTTAGCTGTATGGACTGCAGTGCTATTCAAGACATGAATACTGTTATAATCTTGGCTTTATATGCAAATGACCATGTGATAAATCTTATTAAGATATTATGTCTGTTCTAGTTTGAGGGTGCTGAGTTAAATACTTCTACATAAAACAGAGGGAATTAACAGGAAGATTGAAAAATTTGCACAGTGTTGAATTTCACAATTTGTAGAATTCACCAGATATTATTAGCATGTTCAGATCAAAGCGGACGGCTGTGCAGGCATGGAGCACATGCGGCTCGTAAAAATGTAGGCCAATATAAGGGTCTGGTATAGAAACCTGGAGGACGAAGAACTTTTTCTGAGATCTAAGAGTGGGTAGGCGAATAATATTTAAATAGACCTTAAAGCTATAGTAATTTAAGGTGTGGATTGAATTCAACTGGCCCAGGATAGCTCTAGTGACTGGTTCTTATGCAGACTTTTTTTTTTTGCTAGTGGGGTGAGATAAGGCCCTTGGACTGCGGCCACTTCTGGCCTACTGTACCAGCCCCAGATGATAGGTGAGAGTGATTGTGGAGCAATTGGTTGTATGAAGATTGGCAGGGGAAACCGAAGTACTCAGAGAAAACCTGCCCCAGCGCCACTTTGTCCACCACAAATCCCACTTGACCATACCCGAGATCGAATCCTGGCCGCCGCGGTGGGAAGCCAGCGACTAACCGCTTGAGCTATGGCGCGGCCTTATGCAGATATTAATAAACCTTCAGGTTACATAAAAGACGAGGAAATTCTTGTGAAGCTAATTTACTCTCAAATTTTAAAGTATGATTCTTCCCCTCAGATTTCACTTGTTATCTCCATGATCTCACTCATGACCACTATTATCGGACATTTCTCATGAGCAAATGACGTAAATCGACGTATATATATGTTATATGACTTATTTTCGTACCTGGAGCAGATAAGCTAACATTTCTCACCGATGATTTTTTTAGAAGCTGTTCAAAAGTTAATGATCGGAGTGTCTGTGTCACAAATGAAAATAAATATTAAGAAGCATGTCTCATGTGTAATACATTCCATTCTGAAGTTGTAGAAAGCTACGCGTTGCCTTCGGCTCGTCAGAACGCTGTTATATTCGGTTCTGTTGCCTAATATAAAAAGTAATATTGTGTTTACTGAACTCAAACCTTTTCTTTGCTAATACCGCAGCTTGCGACTGGACACGTTTCCGAACTAGTTCCATCGTCACAAAATATCTGCCTAAGACTCACGCTAAATCCATATTTTTTTATGTCTTTGAAGTGTATTTTTCAGCAAATTTCCCTAATAAAATTCTGTATTCATCTTCTGTTTCCCAACCCATCTTAATCTCCTATACTTCGCTATCCTAATAAAATTAGGTGACGTGTATATATTGCGCAGTTCCTCGCAATGTAGGTTTAATATCTTAAATTTATCGTTTCCTACGTCCTTCTTACATGCAAACATTTTGCAGACCACTGTAATTCACGTTCTTCAATTTATGTTTCCTCGCTGGCAGTAAAGAGACCATGTTTACTGCATACTCATGTACCAGACATATGAGAAATTCGCTACTATATTTAGTTTTCTGAAAACTGTGCCGGGTTCTAACAGTTTTAGATAAATCATAACATCAGTCTCAGAATTTATTCTTTGCTTAATTTCATCGTTAATCTCGTTCAAATTTGCTATCCTAGCTTCAGTGGCTGCTCGTGAGCTGCTGCAGAACTGGCGCCAGACCTAACACAATTTCACGCCCCGCTTCAAATGTGAGTGTTTAAGAGATGAAAGGAATATTTGTTCNAGAATCAGCAGGCCTGTCTAAGAGCGATTATTGATTAACGCACTTAATTCAGGCAGACGCCATTGTTTAAAAAAAAAAAAAAAAAAAGGAGAGAGCGAGAGAGAAATCAAACGGGCCCCACTGTTCCTTGTGGCTGAACACCTTACTCTGTTTCGTTAAGGTACAGTTCTACCACTAAGTTGTTTGGATCCCTCTAGGCTTATCCGTGCCCTCTACTACCCACGGGTCGATTGTAGAGACAAATGAAGACACCGGCATATTGATACAGCAGGTGCTTCAACCAAGATGCTGCCGAGACTTTTTTCTCTCCTGTTGCTGCAACTTTGGAGCGTAGGGCTGATTTCTCAGTTTCACGATCATTTTTACAGAAGGTAGGACCGCTTGGACGGGTGATCAGGTCGTAGCAAGGCCTCTACCTAAACACAGGAGAACATAAACACATATTAAACGCATACACCAAACAGCCATGAATTTTGTGGGATTCGAACCCACGATCCCGGCTTCCGAGCGGGCGAAGACAGTACATGCCTCTGGCCGCTTGTCTACCGTAATCGGTTTCCGAGACTAGAAGAGTGTTAACTTCCGTTCCTTACCGGGCATTCCACTATTACATACCACTATAGCACGCGCTAAGTCTTCTGTTTGTGTTCATTAGTCGTCTGTCCGGCAACGGCTCCCAAAAGTGTCCTCTTCCGCTCATATCGTTACCGATTGGCGGCATCCTCGCACCTAACCCGTGGCTCCAAATATCTTCATATTTCTGTCCGTCGGCTAAATTGCTATTGTGTCTCGCCAGCACAGTCATTCTTGACTTCAGATCTCGTAGAGATCTATGACCGAGATTTTTGTTCTTTCCAAGACATAGACATCCCTTACAAATGGGTCCTTTTTTTCGAAGAAGGGAGGGGTTGGTCTTTCTATGTAAGTGCTACTGACTGTTAAATTATATCTGGGTCTCGCCAGCACAGTGATTTTTTTTTTGTTTTGACCATTTTTTACTTCTCTGTTATGTCCCCCAGTGAGATAGTGGCCAAGTTTTACCCAGAGGCACACAAATTTCATGCTCGCTATATAGCCTGGGGGCGGACTCAATGGAAAACACTGTTTCCAACACTTCTTCTCTTGTTGTGTGTGTATCCGTTGTCGCGAAAACCAGCCGTCACGTGTTGTTTAGCGGTCGTTACGTAGCAGCGGATGGTTTTTTCTCTTAAACTATACTGTCGTCATGCCACAATATTATTCTCTGCTGCTGTAAAATCGCCTTTAAAATTATGACCAGATTTACATAATACAGCATTTACATGGCGTTCTTAATAAAGTTTTTACCGTATATTCAAATTACAGACTCGCTACTTTAAATTAACACACACGCATGCAAACATGCATGCATGTAATCAAGCACTGGTCACAAAGTTCTCTATAATCTCAAGTAAATAAATAATGCAAGATATGTGAAATATTAGTAGGTGAATTTCTGACAGTGTAGCCAAACCAATCATTACCTTCTTTGAGAGGGAGAATAACGAACGTTAAGACAAGCTGGGTAGACAGGAGTCCTCGCTGAATTACACGAGGACCCGCATCTACCGACCCCATGGCAACA